CGTTGAATAGTTGATCCGGGATGTCCTCTATGGCCTTGATTTTGTCGGGATTCACCTCAATTCCTCTTTGTGAGACCAGGAATCCTAAGAATTTACCTGATCCGACCCCTAACACACACTTCTCGGGGTTAAGCTTCATATTGTGCTCCCTCAGTGTGTCAAACATTTCTTGCAGATGTCTCAGATGATTACCTACATGCAAAGACTTAACGAGCATATCGTCTATATATACTTCCATAGTTCTTCCTATTTATTTTTCGAACATCTTATTTACGAGTCGTTGGTAAGTAGCTCCGGCGTTTTTTAGTCCGAAGGGCATTACGTTGTAACAATATGTACCAAAATTTGTTGTAAACGAAGTCTTTTCTCGGTCTTCCGGGTTCATCTTGATCTAATTGTACCCGGAATATGCATCGAGGAAACTCATTAACTCGTGCCCGGCCGTAGCGTCGATCATTTGATCGATATTTGGTAATGGGAACGAGTCCTTTGGACATGCCTTATTAAGATCTTTATAATCTATGCACATGCTAAATTGATTGTTCTTCTTAGGAACTACTACCACATTAGCTAGCCAGTCCGGATATCTTACCTCTCGGATTGAACCAGTCTTAAGTAGACGGGTTACCTTTTCTCTGACGAATTTATTCCTTGCTTCGGCAATAGAGCGCTTCTTTTGCCTTATCAGAGGTATGCTCGGGTCCAAGCTTAACTTGTGCACGGCTATCTTTGTTGGGATTCCTGTCATATCCTCGTGCGACCATGCAAAACAATCAGCGTTAATTTTAAGGAATTCAATAAAATCTTACCTGAGCTCTGGGTGTAGTCCTGTTCCCAACTGGAATTTCCTTTCCGGGAATTTTTCAAACAGTGCAACCTGCTCTAGTTCTTCTGTCGTGGATTTCGTTGCGTCTGTTTCTTCCGGTACTTGAAAATACCTTGGTATATGATATTGCTCTGACTTTCCTACCCCCGGGGAAACTTCCTCTGGGTCGGGGTCGGAAGTTGGTCCCGATAACTGCTATGTCGCATGTTCCTTTCCTTTGATATGAGAGACTGAGATCGCATTGATATGTCTCGCTATCGGTTGATCACCTCTTATCCGCTTGATCCCCTCGGGTGTTGGGAATTTCAACAATTGGTGGTACTCGAAGGCACAACTTTCATCTCGTGCATCCATGGCCTTCCCAGGATGATATTATAGCCCATGTCCCCATCTACTACTTCGAAGAGAGTTGTCTTTGTTACGCCCTCGGCATCCGTAAGCAGTAAAAATTCCCCTCGAGTTGTCACGCTTGCGAGGTTGAATCCGGCAAGGAGCTTTGTTATCAGGACGATGTTCCTGGTGAGTTAAGCTTGATCTATAACTCTCCATTATATGATATTGGCGAAACTTCCTGGATCCACTAAAACACGTTTAATTTTAAAATTTAACACATTTAAAGAAATTACCAGTGCGTCATTGTAAGCGGGACCAAGCATGTTGCCGCCAGAAGCAGAACCCTTGCCTGAAAGCGGAAGAGGTAGCTTACTAACCTACTGGAGTAAGTAGTCTTGTCCGAAAGCCTCAGGCGAAAAGATTTTGTATAGAATATCAAAACAAAAATGATTCCATTTCTACCATTATTATGGTGGTAGTAGTAATCCGTCCGCGTCTTGATTCGTGAACGTGATATCATCTTCCCGGAATCTCTTACTATAGGTTGTCGATGCTTTATTCTTCTTTGCGGTTGAGAAGGTGAACCCATTAATCTCGTTCCCTTCGAAGATCATGTTGATCATTTGACGTGGAGGTTCTTCTCCCGCCTTTGAGGTTTGCACGTCGCCCCTGTCCCGGCCATAATCATTTTTAGCTCGGTCACTCAATAGTTCACTGAGGTGACCATTCTTCAACAGCGTTGCCACTTCTTCCCGGAGGTGCCGACAGTTCCTAGTCCGATGGCCATTAGTGTCGTGGTATTCACACCATAGATTTGGGTCCCTCTGGTTGGGATCAGACCTCATAGGTCTCGGGAATCATGCCTTTTTGATATCTCTCATGGTCGAAACTAACTCCACAATGCCGACGTTAAAATTATCCTCTAATAACTTTAGAAAAGAAGAACCTCGTAGTCCCGAGATTTTTCTATCCTGCAGCGATCTGTTGTTCCACCCACGATCGGTCCTCTTGTCAACGGTGAGCTTGTCCGATGTTCGGAAGCTCGTGTTACGATCTTCCGTCCGCTCGTAAGGCAGAAATCGGCCCCTTGAAACTTGTCTATGTGAGTCGACATCGTCCTCTATTTTTTCTTTGTTCTTCTCACGTCCCTTTGCTGATGACGGGAAGTCAACCCGATCGTCTTCGATCCTTATCTTTGACTTGTACCGGTTGTGGACAACCGCTCAAGTTGTTGCTTAAAACTCGAGCAGACTTTCCTTCAACATTCGGGAAGCATCTGAACTCCTTGGTTTCAAACCCTTAGTGAACACTTCAGCTACCTATTCGTCCGGGACGGCCGGTAACAACATCCTTTCCTTCTGGAACCAACTAACGAACCTTCATAATAACTCGGATTCTCCCTGTGCGATCCAGAATATGTTGGTCTTTCGGGCTTGTACGTTTCTGGCATCGGCATGGGCCTTGATGAACGAATCCGCGAGCATTTCGAAAGAATCTATGGAATGTTCGGGCAATAATGAGTACCAAGTCAAGGCTCTCCTTGTGAAAGTCTCACCAAATTTCTTCAATAACACGGACTCAATTTCGTGAGGAGCCAGATTATTTTCTTTCACCGTCGTTGTGTAGGTGATGATGTGTTCATGTGGATCTGAGGTCCCATTGTATTTTGGCACTTCAGGCATTCTGAATCGCTTTGGGATTAATTCCGGGGCCGCACTTGGTTTGTACGGTAACTGGATGTACTTCTTCGAGCTTGGGCCTTTCAATACCGAGGGTGCTCCCGAGTTTTGGTCCATGCGGGCGTTTACTTCCTTCATGAACCGCAAGAGTTCCTTCTTGAATGGATCGTTATATCGCTGTTGAGGCCAGATCTACTCCTCCCAGCCCCGTCGGACCCAACTTCGCCCCTAGGAGTGTTGTTGTTGACTCTCTGCATCGTTTGGTTCGTTGGAACAATGAGAGGAACTGGATCTCGTCTGTTTGCATTATTTGAAGCGCCTGATAGCGTCCGCTTTAACTCTGTCATAATCTGATTCTGCCGCGTGAGGTGGCCTAGAATGAGTGTCTGTTGCTCTTGCAGGATCCTTACTGCGTCTACTACGTGCCCCTGGTCAGCATCATCAGGAGTGGCCTCCCGTACTTGCCTAGGGTACCGCCCGTTATATACCGGCGTGGCATCTTCTCCCTCATTGCGGGTGTCGCTGATTGAGTCCTCAAAATAGGGATGTTCCCCATGAACCTCAGGATCGCGAGTGTTAATAACGGTATTGATTGCCATTTTTTGGTGATTTTTTGCAAAGATAGAAAACGATCAAAGCTTGTCTATGGAGAAAAAGCAAGGACTAATTTTAATCGCAACGACTGTCTAGGCCTCACGGTGGGCATCAAACTGTTTACCCGAAAAATGGTACAGTTGAATTTGTTCGTGGTTTCTAGACAGATGAATCAATTTAATCCCAAAAGATAATAAACTAATCAATTTTCGTGTAAAATACTTAGCTCAAATGTAGATAAAATGATAGATTTGGAGAGCCCAGGAACAGGGTTTCTAAGCACGATGATGATGAGAACAACAAGCTTGAGAGAGAAATAATATCTAGATGCTGTATTAGAATCTATTTTTTGATGCCCAGAAAATCATGTATTACAATGATAGTTGAGCCTATTATTTATAGCTCAGTGGGCATAATGGTCGGGCCCACCACTAATGACAATTTTAAAGTACGATAATGAAAATCTAACGGTAAACATAAATGCTCAAATTCCTGTAATGAGCCGTTATTCTTTAGTGCTATAGAATATTCTTCATTGAATGCTATCAGGCGCAACATGCTCAATGCTTTTATGGACTTGCCTTTCTCGGTGACACACGAGGTAGATGTGCCCGATTTTTCGTTCTCCCGACTTTGATTCCACGTGTTCCCTTCTTTAATGGCCACGTACCATGACATATTTTACCCAACAGAGGGGCCTCTCTACTTGCATAGTTTTATTTGATCATGGATCTAAACGGGAAAGCTCGTATTAGGAAAATACCTGAGCTAGAAACCAAAATTTACCATACTCTTCGATATGCTAGTTTGCCTTTATCGAGTTGATTAAAAAGTCTTTTGCCGTTGAACTAGTCTAGGAAATAACTGTTGTGGACATATTAAAAACATGTAAGCTACTTTAACAAGAGTCATTGATTAGTATTCCTTCATGTTCATCTTTTGAGAACTCAACATCTAATTAATTAAAATCTATAATGACATATAACAGAATATGATCATAATGATATTTTTGCATTTCACCAACCAAATTAAATTAAAATCATTTTTCAAACGTAACTCGTTTTATGTTCGTAACACAATAGAAAATGAAAATCATATTGAGACCTTCTGTCAGTATTACTCCAACACAAAGTCACAAAAGGCGACAAGTGAGACTTGCTTATTTGTTAAAAGTACCTCCACCCATTACGTGAAAACACTATACATCCTCCTAATTTGGGAGGAATTTTTTTTTAAAAAAAAAGTCACAAAAGGCATTATCTCTTGAGAAGAACTATCATGCACTGGATTTATTACGCCTGCCTTGTTTGGATGGTTCTACTTTAAATACAATATTTATTTTGATTGTTACCTTAATTTTATAAATTATTAACAGCCATAATAAGAAGGTATGAGGAAAAAAGGAATGCGGTGAAAGTGGATCGAACACGTGACCTTCAGATCTTCAGTCTGACGCTCTCCCAACTGAGCTATCCCCGCATGTGGTTGTGAACGGTCTTATAATATTAATTGAACATTCATTAATTAAGTTAATCAACGTGTTTTTCACGTATTCTTCTTATGATCTTATCTGTAAGGACAGAAAAATCATCCATAGACGGCTCGGTTGTGATTTGTGAAGCAGAGAGATGGGGAAGGCTTTCAAAAAAGAATTTTCACACGGTGCTGTTTCAATCCTGTATCAAATCCCATTTTTGTTTATCAAACTGATTATCCTTACAATTTATTTCCTTATTTATCGATTAAACTGCAGATGAGAGACTCGCAGAATCACAAGATATAATCGCCAAATATCCTGATCGACTGCCGGTGTGTCTCTATACTTTTGTATTCAGCTTCCACTTTTTCGTTGACTTAAATTCGATTTTTTTTATGTATATGATTCTTTTCGCATTCAACCACTACGTTTTGTACTTTTCTCTAATTTGAAATATGTTAGACAATTAGGTTATGGCTAAGTAGATGATCACTGGGTTTAAAGTTAAAAAATTTAGCTGAAAAGACTTTAGCCATTTTATAGCTTCACTGTGCAAAAAAAAATATGTACTCCATATATTAGTGTTTTATAATATCATAAGCTGCTGGTTCAATTTAATTTGCTTCTTCCTACCAATTAGCTTTCTTATCTCAACTGATTCAAACTGTTTCCTAGCCTCATCCTCCTTATCTCCAATTTTTAGCCCCTAAAATTCCTCCAAAGTTTTGCATTTACTCAAAAGTCATAATATGACTTTTGATGTTAATTAAAGGTATTAGTGTTGATATCTGACTCTAAGTGGCAGGAGAGGTTCCTTCACCTTGGTAGCTTCAACATTCTATCCTGACAATGCTTTAGCATCTCTAGTGGTTCCACAGCTCGCATGATTAGCAAATTCTTAGTCTGAAATTGAAAGTATACACCCCCCC